AACACCAAAAGCCCACCAGCAAGCACAGGGCTATCTACGGGTACATCTGGTAGTGCAACTATTTAAAAAATGAAACCGTATGGTTTAAAAACAATCTTACATTGTTTAATATTTCAATTTTTTCTTAAAATGAATGAGTTGTGTACAGATGGGAAAAATGCTTTATAGCAAGAAAAAAATCTTTGCTAGTATCAACTTATTCACTGTGTTCTTCATCTTGTCTTCCTCTTGCTTTTCCTTTCTACCTTGATGACTTCCTTTATGGCTGCATTGGGTTTTCCTTTAGCTCGGTAAGGACTGAAGTCTTTATCCTGTTTTTCCTTGAGCTTCAGAGCCTTCCTTTCCTACAGCTGCAGTCAGTGTTACTCCACGTCTCCAGGTTTCTTTGCAACATCACCAGTGATGAGCTATATGTTCTTCTTTGGTTTTTAGATGATGTTCAGAACAGAACCCGAAGGCCAAGGAAGGCCTCTCGGGTGTGGTGGGCTCCTTAAATGTCTTTCTTTCTTCCTCTTTAGGAGGGATGTAGGTTTCATTTCTCTTTCTTAATAGGCCATGGACGTGCTCTTGGCCCTGTCTTCAGAGTTTCCTTTGATTTTGCAGACCTAGTCATCCATCTCTCCGAGTGCTTCTTACAAATTTTTGAGAAGTTGAGGTGAAACCAGGTGTTTCTTGGGCTCCTCCCGGCAAAGTTTTAAGACATTTTATCAGTATATGTTCGCAGTGCATATGGAATCTACGCACTGTGGGGAACTGGTACACTTACGTAGCACAGCGTGACTTTTCTTGCCTCTCTTTCCCGCCGACCATCCCATCTCCTCGGTCCTGAGTCCCTTCCTGTCTCCCCTGAGTCTGTCTCTGCACCTAATAACCGCTTCCTTGTTGGCTTTTTAAGATTTCTTTTGCCTGTGTTTAGCTGTTTTACCCCAGAGAGGCACAAAGTACCCAGGCCCCATGTGGCTTGTGGGCCCCAACGCTGTCTCTGTGGAGCTTGGTGTGCTGCACCGGTTATCTGAACATCTGATTTGTATACCTAATCAACTCCATTTGTAGGAGTTCGGCTACTTTGGCCTAGCCATGGGCGTCAGCATTGTGGAGCTTTGGATATATATATACTGCTACTAAAGATGGCATACCACTTTAATTTGTATTTCCAATTTATAGCATGTTTTAATAATTAACTATTGTTTGCCTTTACACTTAATATTTTACGAAACAAATATTCTTTCGCTATACATAAACTAATACTTTAATGGTGCAGTCTAGCACAAGTACCTCCCTACTATAACTAGCTGTCAGGTATCTAGATATCTTATCTTGTTTTTGTTTTTGTTTTTTTAGGAAAAAAATTTTGTTTTTGTTGTTGGAAAGGAACTTTAGCTAACTTGAGAATATTTAACACTAGATGGCAGGATGAGACCATAGATCCCAACTCCTCAAAGTTGGGGAAAAGAGAAAGGTCTGACAATTTCTCTAAAGTCACAGAGTTTTGAAGCAAATATATTGTTTTACTTGTTAACATAGCAGGGTATGTATTTGTACATTAATTCATAGTTAAAAATTTGAAATTTATGGACCTGTGATGATAAATAGTAGTCACTTTTTTTTTTAAGAAAATCAAGAAAAGTGCAAATTGCTGAAACTTTAAAAACTTCTCTAAGTCTTATGATAATAGTTTTAAAAGTATCTGTTCGTATTGGAAAACATTAATACTTCTTGCCATCTTTTGAACTGAAAGATTACATTATTTAAGAAAAATAGAAAACTTGGGCATTTAATCAAACGCTATTTAGGATAAGATACTAAATGCAGGTTTACATAAACCTATATTTTCACAATTAAGGTTGATACTTCACAAATAAGAATCACTTCAGAATAAATCCATACCCAGAGATGTAAAACCATCTCTTTCAATGTGCACAACAAGTATCCTAGAAATTGGAAGAGTTATTTTAAATTTTCTGGGGAAAAATTGGGGTTTCTAAACTGAGTTACTCACTTTTAATATTCATTTAATGTCAGTATAGATATGTGTGGTAGTATGACCATATTTGATATTATACAAGCAAGAACACTGTGGGCTTGGAAGCAAACATTAAGACTACCCTAGGAGACTGAGAAATACCATTACCCCACCAGTACATGTTTACTCTTGAAAACTTCACTTTTTACCCTTATTTTAAAAAGCATTTATTACTTGCATTTAAAATAAAGCTTTAATTAACCCGCCACATATGTTATTTGCCAGTACTGGCTCTTTATTCAACCAAGAGTCACCCTTCAAACAATCATGAATACTGACTAATATCCAAATCATTGCAAATTTAACAAAAATCAATTTCAGAAAAAGGCAAATATTTGGTGAATTCTTCCTTACATTATTTGGACTCACCTGAAAAAAAATTATAAAATACTAAAAGAAACACTACATAGAAAGTAAGATAATAGTTGTATTCATCTACATAAGGACCACATATATTGACTGCGAATTTTAAATGCAGCTTTCTGCACTTGTTGAATTTTTATTTATAGTAAATATTTTTTATTTCCCTTAAAATTATAAGCTATGGGTACAATTCAGGCAAGGTCAGCCCTTCAGTTTTAATACTAGCCAATATCATAATCACACCCATTGCCTCACCCTTTGGACAGACATTCTTCTACCTAATACAGTTTGTTTTTATTTGCCCTGAGAAATAACCTGAAAAAGTGCTAACAGCAGCTGCTAGGTGCCCATAGTATGTTTGTTTCAAATAAAAGTGTTGTTGTTTTGTCTTGCTTTACTTTTTTTTTTTTCGCAGTAGAACGTTGCATCAAGGCAGTAAAGTGGTCAGTTTAGTTGATAGAAAATTATATTTATCAAATCACAAGCTTTGTCTGAATTAGCTTAACCAATATAAACAGATGTTGAGTCAGTATCCTCCTGACTGTTCAGTTTCATATGGTGACCTGTGCTCCCTGTTGGGGTCCTATATGGCCACGCCCCTCAAAAGAGGCATAAATCCGATGTAAAGAATTCTGAAGTGGACACAGGCTTATCTTAAGCATTCTTCATCTGCGCACCACTCTCCACTTCAGATGAAAGCCTTATTGACAGTGCTCTGCTGGGTCACATCTACACCTTGTTGGCGGCAGCAGCTGTTAACTGCTGAGAATTTGGCCCTTGACTCCTCGTGAGGTAGTTAGTCAACTGTGCTTCAGTGATTAAATAGCATGACACGGAGTAATTTTCCTTAGCTCCCTCAAACACAACTAGACTAGCTCAGCATACATGCGGATCACTACTTTTTAAATTATTGCAAATGTCTTCAGTGTGCTCTGAGTAGAGATTCTAGCATATAGATGCAAGGGGTGATCAAATACTACAGTGTGACTGAATTGAAAAAATACAGTAAAATCAAGTAGTCACTAATTGCCCTCAGTAGACTCCTCCTTGCTTCAAACGCACATGTGCCATCCTTCTTGCCGCTTCCTAAAGCAGTTCTGAAAGTCCTCTTTCTTGAGGGTCTTTTTTTGTTTTTTTCCTGTACTGGGAATCGAACTCACAACCTTGAGCTGGCCAGGCAGGCGCTGTGCTGCTGAGCTAAATCCCTAGCCCCCTTTTCTTGAGAGTATTATGAGGTGTGCTCACAAGTATGGTGTGTGCTGCTGCTGAGTGCCATGCAGCAGAACGGCAGATTAGTAAGTGCATGATGGTGTGTCCTGATTATTCACCAGAACTGGCACCATGCGTCTTACAGTTCTTTCACAAAGTTAAAATGACCATGAAACATAAATATTTGAATTGATTCAGTACATGCAGGCAACTGTGAGAGGGCAGCTAAAGACTCCTGAGAAGCAGTCCAGACCTCCTTCAGAAAGTGGCAGGATGAAGGACTAAGTGTGTTTGGAGTGGGGGGGGATCCTGAGGGAGGTTAATGGCGGTGACTGTTTTACCCTAATAACTTCTGCTCACAATTCTTACACACGTCCCACTGTGACACTGAATTAACATGTTATCCATAATGCCACACTGGCTCAGAATGACTTCATTGGTTATTGAGATATTCTAAGTTCAGCCATAGTTTTCCAGACATTTGTTGTCACGTTTAAGTGTGCATTTGAGACATTTCCCTCATCTACCTTTTCACTGGCCCTGATGTAACACAACATAGTCGGATCAGCTCACTGGAAGTTCTTATACCTTTTATTTGTAGGATGTCAACACCCAAAGATCTGACTCTAGAGATGTAATTTTCCTTTCACTTCTAAGAGATGATACGGATATGAATTATTCAAGAATCTTGATGGACTACACCCCTAGGCCAACATACCTATATACTTACTCAATAATTTAAGGATAAATACTACAATTAGTCTCCCAATGTGGAATAGCCCTTGATGTATTAAGGAGGAGAAAGTCTTGCACTGAGTTTTATGGTATAAGCCCAAAGCGTGAATTTTCTTTTTAATTTACTAGAGTTTACTATTACAAATGAATGAGTGAATCAAAAATATTAATGGTGTCAAAGAGTTATTAGGAAATATATATAAATATATAGTTATGAGCAGAGGGAAGAAAGAACAATTTTAAAAATGCAGGATAAAGTTTCTTGATCTAATTGTGAAAAAATCAACAAAGACTAAAATCTGCTTGTCAGAAGTCCAAATCAATGAGTCAGATCACAGAATGAATTCTGTTGAATGCAGTGCTTTTACATGCTCATTTATGAACAAAGATGTGTTAATCTTTCCTAGATGCTTGTAATCACTAATTCAACACACAGACATGCGCGCACACACACACACGCACACCTTTGATTCTTTCATTCTTTGATAGATTTCCTTCAAGTCACAGGCAGCTTGGTTTGGCAAGTTCTAACAGAGCTCAGGCAAGGTGAAAGCCAGCCAGCTCTGGCTGCTAACAGTGTGTTCCTACAGCACAGGAGCTCGGTCTGTTCAGGCTGCTTCTTGCTCTGGTCTCAGAATAAGAAAGGAGCTCCCTCCTCTCTTGGGGTATTCTATTTGAGAAAGAAAGTAACCTAACACTAACTGCAGGCGGGGTCAGAGTGATGTAACAGGAAGCTCTGATGTTTCCCTTCTCTGCTGATCACTTACAATCTGACAACACGTCCAATCCACTCAAAACAACTCCTCTTTCCAGCAGTGAGTGTCACCTCCTGCCTTGGGACCGTCAGGCTCCGCTTACTGGACTCTCTCACGCCTGCAGGTCCTATTGCAAGTTTTCCTTCCTCCCCACCTTGCCTGGGTGTAAATCTCTGCTGCAGAATCACAGAAAATCACATTTCATCCTGAGGCTATTTCACCAAGAATTTCCTCACGAGCTGTGCTGGGTAAGTGCTTCGGTTGAAATGAATATATTTATTGTGAGTAGTATCCTCATGCTTTTTGACAATGTTTTTACCAAGAATGTAGAAAATAGCATTGAAATGCTGTTGTAACAACCGCTCTTATTTCACAGGCTGAGAAACTACAGCATATTACCTCAAAGTGCATAGGAAATCTATTATCACTGCATATTACTATTTATAGTGATCATCTAGAAAATAATTTACCAAGTAATAAAAACCTACATGGATTGAAAAGCATGTCTCTGAACATACCTTAATCATAAAACGGCGCCTTTTATCATAAGTGCTACTCTTAGCTGATCTTGAATTCAACAGCTGGAAAACACTTTTCCCCCAGGAGGGTCTTTAAACTTTCCAAATAATAAGGATTCTATGAAAGTGGCGAAAGAATAGCTGATTACTGGGTCCCGGAGCCTCACCATGCACTCTGTAGTGGAAACAATGCCGAGTTAAAAGAAAAGTAATTAATCTGGATTTATTGTATTTGGCTTTTATTTACCTTTCACTTCTATTTACATTTCCATCTCTAACTATTGAACTCATGAAATGTTCATTGTTCGCTGCCAGAAGTGTTTATCTCTTTTGGGAACCTTGATCTGTTTGGGTTGTATTTAGATCATGGGGTGGGCTCCAAAGGTTGTAGTTTTACAACCTGCAGTTGTAAAACGTAAGCTTTCTCTATTAATTCTGCGTTTTAATTCTCTGCACCTGAGAGAACGTATTTCTTCAACTTGCCGGGTGCCCTTCCGCGAGCTTTTGGGGAGGGTATGCTAGTGAGCTAACTAGATAAAAAGGATAGCGGAATTTTCCCAGAGGAATATATTAGTGGAGAAATTCAAGTATGTATTGAAGAAAGAATTTTCAGTATAGAAGTCACTGAAACGTTGAGATGAAACATCGGTTAATGCTGTTTTCAATAGTCCAGCCTGTCCCGGGCAGTTTAAGGGGCTGGCACCTATGAAGTTGTCCGGAATAGGGATATCATAGTTTGTTGCTACAGAAAGTTAGATATCAGATTTGGGTTCAAAACATGTGGACTGTGTAATTTTTAAAGAGTGCATTTTCTCACTTACATTAAGCTCTGCCAGACGTGCGGTGAAAGCCTCCGTGCTTTGTCACCCGGGGTCTGGCGCGCTAACAATAGGCTGTTAACTCATCCGGGATAAGTCCTTGGTGATCTCCCACTCCGTTTCCCACAGACGTCTCAGTCTGATGGAAACGTTCATTAATTCTTGCCTTCCTGACTCTTTCAAAGTGTTACGTCTGGTTTGTCTTTTCAATCTTAAATTCTACTTCTGAGTTCCCTGACACATGCCTAGAGGAGGGAGGTGTTTTAGAATATGACTGTAGTCATTAGGTAATTTGTGAAGAAAAAAGGAAACAATGCATTAAATGACCCAGTCTTAGGGGTTAACAACAAAAATTAAACCGGCATCATTTCAAGTCAGACTTTCCTAAAAGGAGACATTATATTAATATCGTATTTTATAGTGACTAACTCCCTAAACTTTTCTAATTTGTGTTTAATCTCTAGACCAAAATGCATAATTCTCTCCCCAAATCTAATTAAGTGTTTTTATCTGTATTAATGGCTTGGTTTATAATATTTACTATCAAAATATGGGTGAATAACACTGAATCGTGTGTATTAAGGAGCACTGGGCCAAAAAGTTATTATTACTATTTGGGTAAATATGTGGAAATTTGAAATAAATGTTCATATTATATAATATATTTTGCTTTTTAAAATTAATGTCAGACTATCAATGCATGCTTTTAGCCATATAGATAATTTATTATTCTAGATATTTCCCCACAGCATCAGAAAATCTGTTCAAACATTTCTAAGTGTATAAAACATAGTAGTGATAAATTATAAGATTAATATGAACACAAACATGTTTTATCGAAAACATTCTAGGTTTAAGAGATGTGATTTTGATTGTTGCTACAAGATCTTTTTTATCTAATGTATTTTACCACACATCAAAGAACTATTTTAACTTTATAAACAAAGAATGTTAGTATGTGTAAAACTATTCACTCATTTTTCAGGAATTCATTTAAAAACAGAAAAATAAAAATAATTATAACTAAGTCTGCATTTTTTAAGATTAAGTGCATAGCCAAGGTAAATGATTTTTTTTTTACTGGATGTTCTTAATAATATTTTAAGGTATAAATTGTGTCAACAGACTGGCATGTTTATGAGAACGTTCATATTCACCTGCATGTATTATGTTATTATTTTTATGTATAACAAATACATTCTGGTTAAAATGTTAAAACAATATTTTAAAAATTACTTTATATGCTTTATATGTATCTGGGACATTATTTCATAGATACAAAACTAACTGAACTCCAGCTAATGACATTTTTTTACATCCCTGACTTAGATCATATTTAGAATCAGTATAACAATAATTTGTTATCAGTGTTATCTATATGTTTAAATTTTGATAGCGACCGTGTCTGAGGATTGTTTTTGATCTTTCTAGGAAAATTAATGCAACCATGTTTAAAGAACCAAAGTAGGTATTCACTAAGCAAAATTTACAGTTTATGTATGATTTAATGTTGAAAATACGGTTTTGTGTTTTAGCCATGTAAGGATGATGGTGTCAACTCTTCAGAAGACAGATGTATTCAAACAACATTATCTGAAGTGTTTGGCTTTATTCTTAATCTAATCTTTGTTTAGGGTTAAGAGTGGCCCTTAGCCCTTAAACATAAACTGTGTCACTGCAGTGGTGTTAATGGAAGACACTCAGAAAGTCATTTGTAGGCATCTGAGTTGTTGACGTAATCAAAACTTTAGAGAATACACTTAGCATGGGCAGATAGTGCACCACTATCTAAAATGTTTGCTGAACCCAACTGCGAAGTTTATGGATAAACTCTAAACATTCATAACTCCTGTTGTTCTACCAGAGTACTTGTATTAGGCTATTAATAAACAGTCATTCTTATTTAAGCAGGAAAGTCCTCCATAAAACCAAGTGATTATTTTTCATGTTTCATTGGAAATATAATATTTTGGTGAAATCGATTTGGTCAAATAACCTGTACATTTCCCTACATTTGAGTATTTTTAGTTCCAATTTAATTTACTTTTTAATTCAGTAGGCCATTTTACAAAAAAAGAAGAAATCTATTTAGATTATAAGGACACAATACCCATTTTATTCTTTATTATTAAAAAATAAGACATTAGCACTCACTGTGAAGTGAGTTAAGGTCTATGTTTCCTAAATAACTAGAATTAGTATCAGATGAGTTATAAATACTTTCTTAGAATATGTTTCTTCCATTCATTTGTTTATTTAACATAGTATTAAACAAAATTAACACTAATATTTTTTACATTTATTTTTAAATGTTAAAAGTAAGATTTATCTTTTATCTTTCATGGTTTTAACTAGATGTATTACATATTTTTACCACTGTATCAATAAAAAGAACAAAATTCAACCCAACTCAAGCCAACATAAATCAAAATAAACAGAAGAATAAGGAATCCCTATGATATTGAAGCAGTAAATCCTGTTATACTAATATTTTTGGATATAATTTGATTTTCAGAGAAACTTTATTCCCCTTAAGATAGGACATATTTTTTAAACTATACAGTGTTAACATGATATAAGTTTTTGTATAAACATGTAGCTATTTCTCTATCCAGGTTCACCTTAACCTGCTCACAATCATGTGTTTCTCATAAAAATTATAAGAATCCTGAGTGTACTATTTGCTGTATGAAATATCAATCACATAGTTAAATGCAACTAGATTATTCACAGTGGTTCCCTCTCTCTCTACTTCTTAGTCATATGGAAGATCCTTTTTATGTCCTTGAGCACATAACTAAGACTTCATCTGTCACATTTCATATAAATTTTTCCTACATCCATGTACTGATTTTGTATTTTTCACAAATGAGTGCTAATTTGAAGCCGTGTTTGTTGATTAACCTGAGACCAATTTTTAAGTAGACATGAGTTTTCTATGTAAAACTCAGTTTTGCCTTCCTTCCGAGGACAATTTGAAGGGAAAATTTAAACTGTGGTAAGTACCACAGAGGGATAAAGTATACTTGAATAAGAAAGAAAGACGGAAACTATAGGAAATGAATGTCATCAATTCAAAACTATTATTGTTCCCCCAAAATTCTGTATTTTCCTTTTTTTTTTTTTCCCTTTGGTTTTTTTCCGGTACTGGAAATCGAACTCATGACCCTGCGCTTGCCAGGGAAGCGCTGTGCCGCTGAGCTAAATCCCCATATGAGTTAAAATAGATTTGCTTTACCTTAGTTAATGGAAACCTAACAACCAAGTAACAGGTTGAATGCTGTACTAATCGGTCTGTGGATCTATCCTTTAAAAATTTGCTTTCAATAAATTTTTTGGTTTTAAATCTTTTCTGAAAATATGCCAATGTATTTTATTAGCTAAAGGAAAAGAAGCTTACTTATTAGTTTTTGAGATTTAAGTGCATTTTATTTACATAGGTGCAGCCTAGATTTGGAGTTAGATCATCCACATGTAAACCCCAGTTCACCACGTATTAGTTCCTCTTTCTCATCTATGAAAGAGAAGTGATTCATAACACAAAGGTGAAAAAGTGTAGCTCATAACTACAGTTTGTAGAATGATCACCCTTTTGCCATCATAAAACACGTGCCAGAATGTGACACAACAGATCCTGCTAATCTCTATTCCTGCAGAACATGAACATTAAAACACACCGTCATAGTAACAATTATAAAAGGTACACAAATGTATGTTTCTATTGTTATGCAAAAACATTTTTCCACAAAAACATTCTATTCTTTATGCAAAAAATATTTTTTATCCAAAAACTTTTGGTCTTCATGAAGTACATGCTCAAAGTCACACAATCATGAAAACCAAATACTGGTTTTGCCCTATGTCTATTGATTCTGTCCCTTAAGCATTTTGTCACATTATTGTCCATTATCA